TGCTGAACTGATTTAAGCCACCCCAACTCTAAGTTAACTTTTACTTAAAAGTCAGTCTATGACATCCTAATCTAAGAAGTTATCTGTGCTTATGGTTTCAGCTCAGTTCTACAGAAGGCCAGTACTGCTATTTATAAACTGGGTTGTACTATGCTATAAAGTTCTTACACATATCTTACAGGTCGAAAGAAAAGGAATAGTTTGGTAAGAAGACGAACGATTGAAGCAACTGCTTTATAGCGCAATATGAAACTTGACACTGTTTTCTGCTGCCAGTATGATTCCCAAGTGAGATGGATAAATTGTGGTCAAGACCTGGACAGGTTAACTAGTGGTCATCAGTGCTGGTGGTACCTTTATATACAGAAAAAAAAAAATGGATACTATTGGACAGGGCATTTGAAATTTAATACCAGACATGAAACAAGACATCTGTTGGACTCTCATTTGTTTCTCTTTGAATGGGCTTTAATTGAAAGCTCAGTGAAAAATGCAGGTTACATTCTTAGTGTTATCAATAGTTTGTAACAGCAACAACATCAGAACAGTGATGCATCTAATATTTATACACTTTCTAATTTTAGATGTCTAAAAGCAATACATTATCAGATATATATATACACACAATTTCAAGCAATTAAAAGTAAATAATAAACCCCTCCTCCCAAACCCCTGAAACAATATATTTCCTTACACTAATAATGTCTTTTTCACATATACTTGACAAAGAGTCTTTTTAAGTTACTTATCTTAAGAGTAATCTGTTAATGGAGATCCTGGACCAGCCCCATTAAAAGTTCAGTTTTAAGTTTATACAGCTTGCTAGCCACATAACCAGTGTGGCTTTACATTGTAAACAAATCCCAAATGTCTACAATGATTGAAATTAGTTTTGTGTAAAGGAGATCTATGCATCTCATGATAGAATAAATTTAAACCAATACATTAAAAAGAGAGAGAGAAAGGGAGAGAGTTAATTGACAAACAAAACAGTTTTGGGGGATCAATTATGTGATCATTTAAAAAACAAGTTAACTTAAAGGTAAGATTCTTGTTTTCTGTACAGAGAGGCTGTGGTTCATCTAGTTTTAGCTGCTCTAGAAATGCATCCTTTAAAAAAAGGTTTGATTTGCGAAATTCAAAAGCAGAGCTTCCAACTTTAAAAGCTTGCCCTTTGGCAGTATGAGTACAAAGTGTACCAAAAGTATCTCAGGTGATTGTTCTGTCTCATTTTGTGAGGATGGCTGTACTGGCATTTGGAAACCTCAGCATACGCACAGATGAAGTAAGCGTAAAGCTCACTTTCGACGTCGAGGAATCACCCTACCCGCCGCAGGACTTAAAAAGGTACAACAATATGTACCTAGAAAAGTTCAAGTGAAAATAAAACCAGAAAATTGGAGACAGACGTGGAAGGTAAGCATGGTTTATAGTAAACTTGAAACTGTGGCAATCTTGCTTACTTTTAAACAAAATTACAAAAAAAATCTCTTGAACTTATTGAAAAGGAACTTATGTAAGTCCAAATGGAAGACAAGGCTGAGCAGAATCCTACAGTTTAGTTAACTTGTGTCAAATGGGATGCGAAGTCAGCTGCAGCTTTCTGACAGAGGTGATCGAAGATGGCTGATAAAGTTTGCAGTAGCTCGTAATGTCCCATCTGGTTTATTCACTTGTTTGAACTGTCTAAAGGGCCAACTGCAGTTTAGTCATGTTCCTCTGGTGCATGTTGTGATGACGAACTAATTCATCAGACCTGGCAAATTTTTTTTGACAGCTGGGCCACCGGCAACTGAAAGGCTTTTCACCTGTTAACAAAACACCCTGTTATTAACTGGGTATACAGCTCGCCTGAGACACTACTATTTGTTTTCTTTCTGCAGGATTGTGAGGAGCTAGGCAGAGCCCCTGTCAGGAGGAAAGGCATCCCGGGCTGTCCTGAGAGGGTGTGGGAGTGCCCTCAACTCCTGCTCACAGCAGTGCTCAGCGCTTTCTTACACCTCCCTCAGCTGATCTTTAAGAGCATGCCTTTTCAGATGACGTACAGCATTTTGCAGTGGTTCATTCCTGAAGACAGGCCCTTACTGAAAACTGTGTCGCCATGTCTATGCTACTCTCAGCTCTCAAATAAACTAGTTTAAAAGTCACTCTGGCATTTGCACAAGCTTCAGTCACACCTTGGACGGTGGTGCAGGCATACTGCTAGTCATTGTCAAAATTGTCAGTGACTATTTAGAGCTTGACCTCTAGTCAAGGAGAGTTTTTCCAGCTAGTTCAATGAGTTTTGGCTGAAGCTCTTTGCAACTGGTGAGTGTAAGTGAATATGGCAGAAGCAAGAGAGTTCAGCATGAAGTCTGCTGACCCAGACTGCAAGTTTCCCAGTACTGTCTAAATAAAGTAGATTCACATCTATGGGAGATGTTAAAGGCTTAAAATATTCAGTATTTTTCTAATATTCCTATAAGCATAATATTAAATAAAATTAACCCAAGCAAAGCACATTCAATTTTAACAAGAAATGCCATCACCTTTTTACAATTTAATCTGGTCTCTCGATTTTCTACAACGTTTAAATGGAATTTCAGGCCGTGTTTCTGATGCCACAGGAATGCTGATGGAATGCTCTTGTTAGCTCAGAGCAGTGCCCACTGACTTGTTTCTTTCAGAATTGCATTTTCTTTTTCTTTCCCCAAAATAGGTGCAATATATTAAAGTAGGTTCAGCTCTGGGACTGGGCTCTTCAGGGCTGTCTACACACCTCATACTCTCCAACTCAGGACACACTGGGGTGGTACAAGCTCACCCAGACACCTTCTCCTCTTCTTTGCCTCACACTTTGTGCATTTCACAAACATCCAAACTCAGGCAGAAGGGGATTTGGGACTGACATAAATGTTGTGTATTTCTGTTTACAAAATCCTGTCCAATATATGTGGGACGGGAGTATTTAAAATCTACTTTATCCACTTAACATACATGCTGGCAAAAGCATCAACTATCTCACATGAGTGCATAAAACAGTATGGGACAAAATTGATCTGGTCAGAGCTACTGATAAAAATCACAGATTGTATAAAGTGGTCTTCTTTCATCTCAGCAGCATTAGCAAAACCATCCTGTGAACTGATGTGAGTTATCTACTACTGGCCAGTTTTTAACCGAACCACTACAGTAAAAGCAGCAGAGTTTTGCTGTTTCACAAGCAATTCTGGTTGTCCTCTCGCAACACGGGGCAACAATCTCTGTTAGTTCTGTGCTGGGTACAAATTACTTTGTACAGCTTCACTGTACAGATATCAGAAATCACATTTCCATTGCTAAAAATGTATATAAATGTATGGAGTTTTCCTTTGATTATTTTTTTTGCTTTCTACAGCAAAGATTGCTGTCACAGTAAAATTGCTTGTGGAGACAAAAACCCCTGACTTTGTAGCTGAACAAATAGTTTGGAAGTTGACTTAAAATTAGGGTGGAATTACATGGAAGTCACCCATGCTTTGCTTCATCAAGATTTAACATGGAGCAAGTTAACTCCAGCTAGGTGTTCTGTTGCAAAATTTAGGGGCTACAAGACAGAGAGAGGAATGAAGCTACAGAGCAAGATGGAGATGAAAAATCCCCACCCACCACTCGTGGTCATTCCCCTCAGGATACGTGTATTTTACAGTCAAAGGAGCATGACACATCCAAAACCACTGACAGGAGCATCATCACAGCAGCACGCAGCTGGGCTGCAGAGCTCGCACAGACCCTGAGCCAGTGGCAGGCAGCTAGCCCACGCAGAGGTCTGTGCTATGAAGTTATCAGTGCTCAAGTGAGGCTGCTTTCAGCAATGAGTGCAGTGTGGGTGTGGATCACATGGAGCAAGGAAGAACTAGAACAGGGAGATGAGTTTCACTAGAAAAAAGAGAGCAAGTTCTTCACTGATTTAGCTAAACTGGCATAAAAAATTACTGGAGTCGTGAAAGTCATGAATTAGCAGATCAGTTAGCAATGAAATGTGATGGGGAATCCAGTTTATCGTGACTTGCTAGCATGTGACAGCTGCTTGCCATTTTGTCTCTACCAGAATGTTACCTGTTGCTGATTAAGAAAATATCTTTCTTCAAGCAAATGCACACAGACCCCTGCGGCTCAGCATGAGGCTATGGGGAGAGCCCAGGAACGCAGCCTGGGTAAAGCCCTTTACCATTTGCAGACTGCAAGCGCAGATATAGCCATTACTTGAAGGATTTAATTGGCCAGTGCCACAGAAAACGTCATTATTCTCAGGTGAATAATTTCCTTTATCAAAATTCCTGGTTTACTTCTGAGAGTCTTAAATATGTGTTTTATGGTCCAGAAGAGAAAAAAGAATCCTTAGCAGGGAGAAAGAGATTTTCAGGCTCCATGTCCATCTGTACAGAGACTGAATTTAAAAGGTTAACGCCAGTACAGAAAACACTGTGACATCCAATAACGTGTCAAAGTGCTCAGTAAACAATCGCTTGGTAAAAATACTGCATACATAGTGGAAGGGAACAGAAAATGTCAGTTCATAGGAAAAATTCTAAAACTTAAAACTAAAATAGAGAGGTTGTTGCAGTGGTTCCTCAATGGTGTTTACATTTACGTGAGGACAGAGTAGACTAAAATGGCCTCCTATTTTTTTCTCTGTATTTATATGAAATACTATGGTTTCTGCAAAAAGATCCTTGAATATTTGAGTAAGCTTTTACTTTAGTGTCTGTCAGTGTGAGTTTGCAAAAGGCACTCCTTTTATCTTCTGGAGAGATTACAGTACAAGCAGCAACAGCAAGAGCTTTGCCGTGCTATCCTGCATTAGGCTCAGCTGACACTTAGGAGAAGCATGAGTAGACATGAATACTTTAGATTAGAGACCTTAGGCTGAAGCTAGAATTCAAATTTCTATCTTGTAGCGTTTTTTCAGTAAAGACAGTAGATCAACTTGACATTTGTGGGCTGAGACCATGATGTTCATTTCACAATAGCTGACAAAATATATTTTGCCAAGTTGAAATTTCTTTAAACATTAAGAAAGCAAGCATAGTTTCCAAAATCACCTAAATCCCTTTGTGAAAAGTGACTATGACACTTGGGGAGTGTAGTCACACTGAAAAATCAGCACACTCTGAAAGTCTTTCTGTTGTTTTGAATATTTAACTCCTGGTTAAGAGACTTTCTAATCATGTAATTTACAACAACATTGATTTAAACTTAAAAAATAATGAAATATAAATGTGAAGAAAAGTTTACGCACTTGTTTTACCTGTATGAGTCCTGGTATGAGTCTTCAGATGATCAGATCTGGAGAACTTTCTCTGACAGGTTTTACACTGGAAGGGCTTCACACCTGAAAAGACAAAAGAAGCCTATTCTTAAATCCCAACACCTTTTGGAAGGGTGAATGGAACCAGCTATTTCTGAATTTTCAAAAGTCTGGATTTTTTTGTTCTAGTTACTGTAACTGCTCCTTCCAGCTTCATGCCTACACATTACAGAAAGTCATTAATCAGGTCACCATCCCTTTGTAACTGCCTCTTCCAAACTCTGAGTCTGAAGCATCCTAACAACACCATCATAAACAAATACCCACTTACACTGTTGGACTAAGGAGGATCTGCAAACTTTGCTAATTCTGATCCTGTGGCTTGGCACTATTCGTATCAGGTATGAGCAAATATGACATAAGAAGATAGAGGTGCAGAGGTATATGTTTATATACCCCTACTAGGCTTAACTTAATTTACATTTCTACTACTTATTTCACACACTACACAAAAGCCTTGGGGATTGCTTAACACAAATATGTTGTAGTGTGCAGTTGCTAAAAATATATCATCCCAATAGAGTACTTTTTACCATCAGCTTTCAGAGCGCTTCCTACATCTCTTAACAACACCGTTTAAGTAGAATAGCACATCTTTAGCAAGAAAAGTAGTAGGCAGAAATCCACCACAGAATAGCGAGTAAACCAATTGTCAGGCCACTCCCTGAGATGCAGGAGACCCAAATGCAATTTCTTGCTGTGACTTAGCCAAAGAAGTACTCTGAAGCCCTTTCTCATGTTCCATGCAGAGTGCCCTCATGGTTCCACCCCCAGCCATGAGGCTGGAGTCATCATCATCTCCTCTTCTGTGACTTTGCAAAGGGCAGCTGCCCCCCCATCAATCTAATCTAGACCTCCAAGAACACATGAAATGCTAAAACGGGCTGCCTTGATGTTTCCAGAAAATGGTGTATGCACAAAAAAAAACACTTGCTGAATTTGGACTGAACTCACAAGTAGTTTTGGCCATCTCAGAACATCCCACTCAGTAAATGATTCACTGAGAAAGATACACAAGTCTCGCTAGGACCCAGACCCATTCATGACTGCTGCTGCCCTCTCTGCTGTATGTGAACTGCTATGCACTTCCCAGGCCATCTGTGCAATCCAGCCAGCCGGATCTTTGACATTTCTCTCCTTGCTGCTCCTAGAATCTTTTCTTAGTTGACAGAATTCAAGAAAGGCTCAAATCTAAGATTAAGAAGTAGTTGACTGAATGAGGGTCTTAAGCATTATAGCTGGTGTGGCTTTTCCTTCTCCACTTCTGCTTTCCAGATATAAATGCACAGTAATTCCACCAGCCTTTCAGCTGCAGCACATGCAGCATTCACCTATTAGCATTGCCACATGAATGTCGGAATACCAACAGTAGTGTTTATCAGGTCACTCACTGGCAACGTTTTCTTGCAGAATTGTTTGTTTCTTAAAAATAACATGTTCCTTATATTGAGGATACAGTATAGAGCAAACAGTTTCATTAAGAAAGCTCTTTCAAAAAGATGGTGTCAGGATGAAAGCGTCACCTATACAACTGTAGCAGTGCTGAAATGCCAATAAAAAAACCCGGCTACAGTCCTCTCCTAAAGCTAACTTCAAGAATTTGGCACAACGGGTATCATGTATGAGTAGACAGAACATCAGAAAAAAAGAAGTTTAGAAGTATACTTTTTGGATTGCAATTCACATATAAAGATGAACCCTAATGAGTAGAGATGTGTTGTCAACAAACCTGTGTGTCGCCTTTGGTGCCGTTTGAGTTGGTCTGAACGAGAAAATCTTCGTTCACAGTCCTTAAAATCACACTGATAAGGTTTTTCACCTGTAAAGGACAAACAGTTTATCAGAAAATGTGGCTGAATGAGGGAACATGTCAACTAGAATCAGAAGATGAAACGTGTTACGCTAAAAGACTTAGACTTCCCTCCTATCTGAAGCAGTCTAGGGGTACTCATTTGCTATAAAACCACACAACTGAGTTGGAATCAGTGGGGAAAGGCTGGCCTAATTCTACGGCATTGACCCTGATACTGAATCTGCTCATTCTAAAAAATAGCCCATTAGGTTGAAGGTACAAAAAAAATCAGTTTTTTTATTGTTTTCTGCTGGAAAATAACAGAAATCTCTTGGTTTATATTTCTCTGAAAACAATATTAAGCCCTTTCCACCTGTTCCAGTACTACATAATTTCTACAAAGGAACAACTTGCAGTTTGCTCTAAATTGGATTTAAAGCAAAAACTAAACAAATGACATCCATGTAGATGGCAATTTTAACCATACTAAATGAATTAAAAGAAACTGAGCAAAATTCAATCACTGAAAAATACATATTCTTCCCCAAAAAACAAGTTATGTTTCTTCCATAAAGCACCATTAAATAGAATTTCTCATGTAGCTGCACACCTCCCTACAAATTATTTCAAAGCCTCATGTAAACATAAACTCTTCATCCACCTCTCATACAGGTCAGCAGAGGTCCTCAGGATGGGTTTTCTCTGGGACGAAAAGTGAGATTCTGACTTTTGAAAAACATTCAAAATCCCTACAAGCCAGTGTCTCAAAAGAATGTGGTTTTCAATGGAAAGGACTTCACCAACCACATAAACTTGCAAAAAGAAATGCAGCAGTTGAGGAGCTTGAGGAAAGAGGGAAACACTGCTGGCATGTAGCATACCAGAGGGTTGGTGAGATTTGGCCAGCACAAAAAAAAAAAAAAAAAGGTCCTTATGCTGTTACAGGAGGAACTGTATGATCTTTTCAGATCTGATCTAATCTGAGGCCCCATTGCAAACACTGGAATCCTGCAAAAGCCTCAAATATAATTACATTTGTACCTTCATAAAGTCTGGTTACAGTGCCACAGCCCTGCACAGAGGCCTCAGCACATGAAGTAATGAAACATCTCTCACTGCAAAGCTGGGAGGATCCTGGGTTTTATCTGGAAGGTACACACCAGACCGGCTGGGACCTGCCTTGTCTACTGTGGAAAGCTGAGATGTAAAACCAAGGTCCAGCACGAAGGATGTAAAGAAAAAATCAGCTGAAGTGAGCAGTGGGTCTAATTTCTGTGAGTCTGTTTTTTAAACACGTATCACTTCCACAAGTGTCTGCATCTCTGATTTTATTATGATGAAGAAAAGTATTCTGACATACCAGTGCAAAATAGTTTATTTTAAAGCAGAAGCCTTCTGATCTCAGTGACGCAGTATAAGCAGCATATTAAGGAGAGCGCTCCAAATTCATACTGGTGTGGCTAGGATAAAAATTTTACAAAAGCAACTAAATCTGCAAGAACAAGCTAACTTCCTGTGACAGTCACCCAAAGGAGTTTACTGATTCTCAAACCTAGGTGTGGACAATTTCCACGTCTGCTGTGCTTAATTTATTAGCATAAGGGATTAAAGTTGCCACAGGTGTTTGAAATAGTTCCGTACACTTTGACCGCAAGGACTCCCTGGGGGGTGCCTGCTTTTCAGAAACCACTTACTTCCAAGGAATTCAGCCCTTTGGCAGATTTAAGAGGGGGCATGTCAACAGAGCAGAATGCAGTGACAGGATGATTGTCTGCTAATTGCAATATAAATGCAGAAGATGGTTAAGGAGGTATTTGAATAAAACAGTGTAGTGGGTCTGATGGCATGCACATTAAAGCATTTCTTTAAATACTTTGAAATATAATCTTGATGAAATTAAGGACAAATTTGACCAATGCATATATTAAAGGAATCAATCCAAGATGCTTACACAGAGATATGCTGACACTGGGTAGAAGACAAAAAGCAAGCAAGCAAACAAACAGAGGCACAATATTCAGACAGAATCCTAATTTCCCTTTCCTTCTACATCTTCCATGACAGCTAGAGCCAAGCAAACTGCCTGCAAAAGCCAACTGTCACATACCTGCTAACTCCCATACGTTTCATCGGAACAGAATGACAGAGCTGTCCCAAATCAGAACAATTCTGTTAGTGTCTCATTACATCACTACACAGAGAGGGGTTAGACCAGTGTCTAGTTTCTCCAGGCCTATCAGAGCCTCTCCCATAAAAGGCTAAAGTCCCTTAAGCTATGAAAAATATCCCATAATGCTTTCACCTTCCTACGTGACCACATACAATTTCAAAACAAAACAGGAGACGAAGATGAAGCTTCACCAGTCCTTCCACCTGCGACTCGGAGGCTTCCATGATCATTTACATTTCATTACTGAAAGAGGGTACACAAAAGAAAGGCTAAACTTGGTCTATAATGAAATAGTCAAGATGAGAGAGGATAGCAGGATATTAATTCTTTAATATTTAGGAAAATATTTAGAAAAAATAAAGCTCAACAATTGCAGAGCAACTGTGAATCAGCCTTCGCATGTATCGCAATAAATGCTTCTAACACAATAAAACTATTTGCTTAAAAAGAATTAACTTAAACTAGAGGAAGCACGCACATTTTCTCTGGAGCAAATTCACTTGCCCAGATGCATGGAAAAACAGAAATTCCTACAGCTGCAGCAGTTGCACAAAATATTCATAATCATTGCATTTCATGAAGGAGTGCTGCAAGAGCAAAAGCCTGCCTGCCACTAACAAGAAAACATGAAGGGAGGAGGCTGATTTTGAAACCAGAGGCAGCAAGTCTGAATGAGAATCTGAAGGCTTGTCTATACTCACTTCACCAATTTAAACCCCTTTTCTTATATACCCACTTCATCAAATGAGCACAACTCCATGATCACATTTCACCTCGCTAATATAACATTTTTCTATTCAACATAATTGCTTTAGCAAACTTAGATAACACTTATGTTTCTCTATTTAGTAGGGAGCCTTTATAGATAATGTTTTCTCTCATCTTCACACCAGAGTTCAGGTGTGAGATGTCACTACTGTTTTGAAACTAATCTTGTATTTTAAATACCTAAGTAATCTTATTTTACGCCATAGAAATGAAAGCCTAAAAGCAGTCCACGCTGGGTGAGGCCAAAGGTCCATGCAGCCCAGCAGTCTCCCACCAGGGCTCACCAAAGATGCCTGCAGGAGAGCAGAAGATAGATAGCAAGGATGCAGCAGGACTTTCCTTGGACCCTCTTGTATCCAGCAGTTTGTGAGTTAGCAACTTTCTGAGCCAAAGTTGACTTCATATTTAATTCTCGTTAATGGAGTTTCTTTCCATTAATTTGTTCAGTTGTTTCTTGAACCCACATAAGCTTTCATGTTCCACAGTATTCTGCAGAACGGTATTCCATGGCTTAAGTATGAAGGTCAGTATTTCAAAGCAACACTAATGACAGAGTGCCATCCTAGAAGTCACCGCACTGGACTCTTAAGAGAAGAGCCTGTGCAGTTTACAGCTCAGGCACAGTAACACCCATTTATCAATTTACCACCTCTGTATATATTCTAGAGGACAGAGCTCTGTCTGTCAAAGATGCTGTAATGATGAACTGCACTAATGACTGTAAAGCATTTAGCAGCACAGTGGCACATGCCATAGTAAAAGGATATTTGCTTTTGTGAAAGCAAAGAAATCATTATTAGATGATTAGCATAAAAATCATTATTAGACTGCATTATTTACAACCCCTAGAGCCTCAGAAATTCACCACTGAAAGCTGAGTCCCCTACCACATAAAGGACAACCTTCCTGATTTACAGATTCTCACACTTCATTGTACAAACTCATACCTGCAGTTGAGCATATATAGGCTGAAGAATATCCTTGGCAAACAGGCAGAGGATATCTTCTCTGCAAAGACGCTCAGTTTTTCATTGGGATAAATCCAGTTTTTCCAATGTGTGGCACCGAACCCCAAGGGTCTCTGGCAAGAATGCTGATGTTTCCACAATAAATTAAATTTATGGAGGTCTAGACATCAATTTGTTTCTGCAAAGCAGTCTCTGAAGTCTGCCACAGGATGACAACTCACATTAATTGCTGTACTGTTGAAAAGTTGTATGTATTTTTGCATTTCCTTTCAGAGGCCTATCTACTGCAGCAAAATACACCAAGATAAGAAAAAAGCTTTTTGGCTGTACATGTTTCAATAAAGGCATTGTTAACCATGGGTAAGCAGTCTTGGAGGGTACAAAATGTCAACATATTTTCAACTAAGGCTATGTTGAAACATTGGTAAAAACTGATTATAGAATCCAATTTGGAGTTTCAGGGCCCTGTTGATTTTGCAATACTGCAACCAGTGAAAAACGGAAGCTCTGATGAGTCAGTCCTCTAAGTATCTATTACAGAAAGAAAAAAGATAATCAAGAGCCAACGTTATTCTGCAAAGATACTATCTGCTGGTTTAATATTAGATATATGGAACCGCTTGTTTTTCACATCATGTGTTCATAATTTAAAAAATTGACCTACCACTACACTGAGAAAAGTGGAAGAGCTTCAAACCCATGAGTGAATCCAGAACCACCTTACAGGAGGACTAGTAAGATTTCATGTTGGCTGTAAAGAGGTATTCCAATCACAACCAAATTGTCCTCCACTTGCGCTGACACCTGACAGCTCTCCTGACTTTAGACATGGCTCGTCAGGATTCCTCCCCATCAAAACGTTGAAGCAGAAGAAGTAGAGACACATTCCTTTGTTTAGTAAGAATATCAGGTGTCATGTTTGCCAACTACTTTCTGTCTAATATGCTAATTCCACCAAGTTCAATTTCCATTATCTAGCAGAGAACTCTAGAATAGGGGTTTGGAGTTCACTGGGTGACAAACAGAAAGATGATCAGAGAGCCCAGGAGACAGCCACATAGTTATCAACATAACCCAGTAGCCTCACTCTAGTCATACTGGCCCCTTGAGACATCCCCTAACATAAAAAAAGAAGCAGGTGGAGAAAAGAAAGAAGGTGCAGAGAAGTGTGAACTGTAGCTACTGTAACTGTTATCAACAAGACACACATTTTTCATAGCGGTGATTGATCTGCCCTTGGAGAAAACTGGTTTCCAAATTTTGCTTTTGACAATTAGCTTTTTCACAAGCAGGAGACACAAATCAGGGTTAGATAGAGAAAGACATGAACTTACAAAGGAGACTGGAAATGGATTTGCATCACAACAATTAGTTCAACTGCCCAGGACTCCTAAAAAGCATGGGACTGAAAAAGATCATTATGGCCACTAAGCCCAGACCACACCAAGCAGCCAAGAAAATACGTTAACTCAGAAGTGTTCGTAGACTATCCGCTCTGATATTCCATATCAGATAGTTCACCAAGCACTCCCCAAAATTAGGACTAACAGATGACAGAAGGAGACAAGAAATGAAGGGCATCATATTATAAGTCTCTACAGCAGCTGGGAATTTGGTAAGTAAAATTTCCAGAAAATAATCATAGGAAAAGGGTAGGACCCATACGACAGGCTGAGGACAAAAACCTGCCAGCCTGGTAAAGGAGAGAATTCCCTTCTGATCCTAAAGCTGAATGCATCAGCCAGGCAAGTTACCCAAGCAATTCTCATACCGGCAGTGTGCTATCCCATGCAGCCTCTCTAGCTGCAACCAAAGTCAAAAGCTGACATGGTCTTAATGGCAACGTTTGTATCAGCAAATACAAGCTTTGGGAATTAAGTTGGCCTCATACGGAAAGCAACTTGCAAAGCTTTGAGAAATACATTTTGTTATCAACGTATCAAAATACAGTGACAGGAAATCTGGGCCCACCTGTACAGAAGAGGTGTTTGGGGGGAAAAGAAACATTTTTCTTCTACCCCATCCCACTATCGCGTAAACCAAAGGAGAAGGAAGGGGCATGTATGACCTCAAAGACAATGGCAGAAGTCTCTCTAGGGATGCTAGATGGCCATAGTCCTATCCCCTACATCTTCTGGGGCTTTTGTGGCTCTACGTGCCTGGAGTGTATGTGGTATAATGCTGGAAATCTTCTCCAGTTAAGGAAAAAAGATGTAAGCTGAAGTCCTTGTGATGCATCCAGAAATAATACCATGAAAGCCAAGCAACTAAATGGAATAAAATACAGGACCAGAACAAACAAATTATGACTGCTAAAATACAGAGTAAATCAATTTAGGAATGAAAGAAATAGTGATTATGAGAAAAATTCAGAACTGTTTAGGCATACTTAAGAAAAATACTGCAGTTAATGGACCCCAAAAGATCTCCAAATTTTCTTCTGTTTCCAATTCATTTACAGAAAATAGAATAGCATTTCTGTAGATCTACAGCTCTAAAGACTAAATTCCAGTTACAATCTAAATTACCTTGAACGTGTAATCTGAACATCACTGAAGATGTCTATCTGAATATTTTGTGACTTGCCCATTCAGAAATCAAAAATGCTTCGTAATGTTCATTTCTTACCTGTATGTATTTTACACAATTAACTAATGTCACCATATGGTCTCCAAAAGGAAAAGTTTGCAACTATTTTTTATGAAATGTTAAACAATCTGCTAAGTCACAAGAGTACAGACCGTCTTCCTGTTGCCTGTTTCATCCCTTTGACCTTCCATCATATTAATGGTTAACTGAGCATCCATATTTACAGATTTTATCCACAGATTTCTAGATTAGCACAGAACGAACTGTCTAAATAAAAACATGATAGGCAGTCAAAAATAATGCGGACTATATCTAAAGCTATATCATAATTATACATTTCCAACAGTATAGATCTCACAGTGGGGGAAATAATTCTGTTTACTCTTTGGCAAGGTGCAGCAGGACATTTGATTTCCACATTTTGAGATGTAACTTATATTGCCTGAACTCAGAGAGAACCCAGATCTTAGCCTACAAATGACTGGCTTCAGGCTCAATTCTTCATGGAAAGATCCCATAGCAAGGAAGCTCATTTGCCAATCCCTGCCTCCACCCCTGACCAGAAAAGGCTTACACAGGGGAACACGAGGATGCTGAATGTCTAGGATCCCCTTGAAGAGGAAACTTCTTAAGAGTTAACAACAATTAAGATTTGGAACAAGCTTTGATGCT